GAAACTCACACTGACTGGTTGCCATCTCTGTCCAGCGTTCTGTCAGGAACTCCATATCAATGATCTCATTTAGGGAGGTGCCTAGAAGTGGTAAGGGGCTAGGAGTGGGAGGAAGACACTAAGTCACCACCAAATTCCTTCTATGCCTCAGGCACTGTACCCAGGCTGGGAGTCTGGCGAGATCAAGTCATATAAAGTCCCTGATCTCTTGGGCACTTCAGAGGGGGAGAGGCAGACAATTTAAGGAACAAAGTAATATAGGGATGCCTGGGTGGCTCCCTATCTTGGTTAAGCGTCTGTCTTCAGCTCAGGTCTTGGTCCCAGGGTCCTGGGACTGAGTCCAGCATCAGGCTCCCTGTTCAGCGAAGAGTCTGCTTCTCTCTCTGCCTGCTGCTCCCCCTGCTTGTGCTCTCTCTCTCTCTCTTTCTGACAAATACATACATAAAATCTTAAAAAAAAAAGGAAAAAAGTAAGATGATTCCAGAGTGATAAGTCCTATCAAGAAAACAAAGCAGATGAAAGTTAAAAATAAAATATTTTAAAAAGAAAAAGAAAGCAAAGCAGGGTAGTAGTGGGATAGTGGTTGAGAAAAGGAGAAGCCTTCAGGTAGAGTGCTTCTTGGGAGGGTCATGTTTGAGTTGGGATCCAAATGATGAGAATGCGCCAGCTGGGCAAAACCCTTGGAGAGTCGAGGAAGAGGTGGTGTTTTCTGGCATCTCTTCTTCACCTAGGCTGGCTCTCGGAGAGTGGTGTACTTGGTGGGGCTGTTCTGCATGGGGCTTGGGCTCTCCCCGAGACTGGCCCAGCTCCTCACCGCCATCCCACTGCCTGTGCTTGGTGAGTGGATGTATCAGCAGGCCTGGTATTGAACCAGCACTCACCCCGCCCCCAGGACAGCCCAACTGGCTGGGTGTGGCTGGCCACCTCTCTTTCCGAACAGCATCCCCTGACATATTGATAGCTGTGTGTGTCAGCTGCCCTCATTTCCCCCCGCCCAACATCTTGACCTCTTGACCGGGCTTCTGGCATCATTGGAAAATGAGCCTTTTGGTCGTCCATCTCCATCACCACCTGCCCCACCCTGCAATCCTCTCTGCTATTCCAGCCCTTCCCAACCCCCTTAACTACTTCCCTACGAGACAGGTGGGGTCCTTGGGGTGACCCAGGCCGTGGTTCTGTCTGCTGGATTCTCCAGCTTCCACCTGGCTGACATTGACTCTGGGCGGAATGTCTTCATTGTTGGCTTTTCCATCTTCATGGCCCTGCTGCTGCCAAGATGGCTTCGAGAGGCCCCGGTCCTACTGAGCACAGGTGGGAGAAAGCAGACGGATGGGAAGGGGAGTTGGACGGGATTGGGAAAGCAAGAACTGGAGGCTTGGAACTCTCCAGACTCCAGGTCCCACACCCTTTTCTGGGCTTTGGCATAAATAGTTCATCCATTCGTTTAACAAATATTTATTGAGCACCAGACTACCCCCTTAGGATACAAGGTACCTCCAGATGTTCCAGTCCAGTGAAAGAAAGAAGACATGTACAGACGTAACAGGAAAGGTTCAGATAAGGAGCTGGGTTGCTCGGCAGCAAGAGAGAGAGTTTCTGTTTGAGATGATCCAACTTAAATTTTATGGAGAAAGTAACATTGAGCTAGTTTGACTTGAACATATTCAGTGAGAGGAAGCTCATTTCAGGTGGGGGAACCATCATAAACAACGACTTAGAAGTAGGAAGTCCTAGGGTATTTCCAGGGAGCAGCAAATACCTCAGTTTGTTAGTGCAGCCTAGCCAATAGCAGTGGCACTCAACTGAGGAGGATTTTGCCCCACAGGGAATATTCAGCAAAATCCAGAGACATTTTTGGTTCTTACAAACAGAAGAGGGGATTGTTATTGGTATTTAGTGGCTAGAGGGGTTCTGCTAAATATCCCACAAGGCACAGGACAGGCCCCCTCAAACAAAGAATTATCTGGTCCAAAATGTCAGTAGTACTGAGGTTCAGAAAACCAGGCTAGAGCATAGAAGGTAAGAAGTGGGAAGTAAGGGGCTCCTGGGTGGCTCAGTTGGTTAAGTGTCTGCCTTTGGCTCAAGTCACAGTCCCAGTACCCTGGGATCGAGCCCCACATTGGGCTCCCTGCTCAGCAGCAAATCTGTTTCTTCCTCTCCCTCTGCCCCTCTGCCTGCTTGTGTGCCATCTCTCTCTCAAATAAATAAAATCTTTAAAAAAATAAAAAGCGGAAAGTAAGGTTGGGGCTTTTATTTATCTATTTATTTATTTTAAAGATCTATTTTTCTTTTAGAGAGAGAGGGTGCTAGTGGGGGGAGGGGCAGAGGGGGAGAGAGAGAAAGAGAGAGATTCCTCAAGCAGACTCCCCACTGAGCAGGGAGCCTGAGGAGGGCTTGATCCCAGGACCCTGAGATCATGACTTGAGCTGAAACTAAGAGTCGGCCACTTAAACAACTGAACCACCCCAGCACCCCAATGGCTGGGGCTTCTAATACCAAACTTTTGAGAGCCTGGATCTATCTGGAGGGCACGTGGATACTCAGAATACAGGATGATGGACTGGGAACTTGTGGGAAGGGCCTAGGTGGGGGAAATAGAGAATAGGGGGACAAAGGTGAAGGAAGATGGGATAACGGTTCAGAAAGACCTGTCCTTAGCCCAAGACTTAGACTTAGGTCTAGGAATATAAGACTCATTGACCCTGCACAGCATCAGAGTTCCCTTCCTGCCTGGCCCCAACCCTCTATAGGCTGGAGCCCCTTGGATGTGTTACTGCGCTCGGTGCTCACAGAGCCCATCTTCCTGGCAGGATTCTTGGGCTTCCTTTTAGAGAACACCATTCCTGGTAAGTTGAGGCCAGGCCCCAGCACAGCGGGGAGGAGCCAGGATGTTCTCACTTCCTGGGTAGGGCAATAGCCTGACAAACCTTTCTTTTGCAGGCACAAGGCTTGAGCGAGGCCTAGGTCAAGGGCTGCAACCTTCTTTCACTGCCCAAGAGGCTCAGCTGCCTCAGAAGTCCAGAGAGAAGGCTGCCAAAGAGTATGAGCTTCCTTTCCCCACCCAAAACTTGCGTATCTGTATTCCCCAGCCCCTCCATTGCCTCTGCCCGCTGCCTGAAGACCATGGGAATGAGGAAGGAGGGCCCTCTGAGCCAGGAGAGACAGCTGATTTGTTGCCTGGCTTTGCAGAACATTGTCCTGAGTCTAGCAGAGAACTTGGTTCCCAGTGATTACCGGGAGTCCTATTCCTTCCCTGGTTAGTTTACCGTATCTCCCAGCTTGCTGGAGAGTCAGCTCCCAAGTTCTAATTTCTCCTAAGAAGAAGGTGTGTGTTTGCGCATGTGTGTGTGTGTATGAGAAATGGGCCCACCTTAAGGTCTCATTTCCCAATAGGTGTGTTGCCTTTCCTTTTCTTAATTAGGCGTAACAACAACAACAAAAATTAATTAGGCCTAACTGTTCCACGTTCCAGGCAAGGGCCACAGTTTAGTGGGCTGTGATCGAATGAATGAGATTCTGCATCTGAACTATCTATGGTCAAACCCCAGCATTCACTTAACAAATATTTATTGAAGGCCTTCCATGTGCAAGGTTCTGGAACTACAGATGCGTATAACATAGGGTCCCTGCCCTCTTAAGGAACCTATCATTATAAAGACCTATGTAATTACTAACTAAAATCTAAGGTAAAGGCGGCCTGTAATAAAGATTAAAACAATATTATGGAAGCCAAAAGGAAGAAAAAATTAATTCTGATTGTGGATAGAGGCAAACACAGGCTTTCTGAAAAAAGCAGCACCAAGGGAGGCCTTGACGGGAGGAGGATTTTTGCTCGTGTAAAGTGGGCGGTGAGAGTATTTCAAGCTCAGGTATCCAGCTGGAGCAAAACCATAAATTGTAGAAAGCAGAAAATGAGTTGAGGGATTTCAAGTTTTTCCGTGGTGATGGAGCATAAATATGGGTCTAAAAGGAAGGAGAAATGAAGACAGGAGAAAGGATGAGGTCAGACGATGGGATTTATGCATTTAAGAAGGATCCTCTCTGAAACGGTTCGAGCGCTGGTGAGGACCAGAGAGATTATCTAGTGAAGTTCAACCTCCTTATTTTATTTATTTTTAAAATATCTATCTGTCGATCGATCTATTTATGGTGGGGGGAGGGGCAGAGGGAGAGGGAGAAGCAGACTCCCTGCTGAGCAAGGATCCGCGGGGCTGGATCCCAGGAACCTCAGATCGTGACCTGAGCTGAAGGCGGCCGCCTAACCGACGGAACTAGGCAGGCGCCCCTCATTAGATTTAAAACAAAACAAGCGGTTCGACAGGTAGGGGAGGGAAGTGATCTTAGTTTACTGCCAAGTCCAAATCCAGACACCCCTCTCCCGCACCTTCTCTGGCATTCTTTTTACTCCGCCAGCGTGACTTCGAGGGGCGCCCACCACCACCTCATGTCCTATAGCAGCGGGTCGCCCAGCCCTGTTCCGGCTCCCCTAGGGCGCGGCGGACCCCCAGCTCTAAGAGGTCGGTCCGACCGCTCCGAGGTCCCAGATGCCCCGCCCACGTCGGGCCCGGGCCCCGCCCTTCTGTCCCGAAAGGCCTCTACCCTAGGCCTTTCGGTTTGCGTGGGCTAGCCCGCCGCGGGGAGGGCTGGAACTCTCGCGGCCCCTCACGGTAGGTGGAGCGGGTTTCGAACCGGGGCCGGGACTCGGCCCGGTGCCGGGCGGTTGAGAGACCCCGGGGGCCTGCGCGCGGGAGAGCAGGCGGGGACCCGCACTCGGCCTGAGAGCCGCGGCAGACCTCCGGGGGTGGGCGGGGCGCGTGCGCCGCGCGTGCGCAGCCCGCCTTCCGGCGGCGAGGCAGGGTTTGTGAAGCTGCTTGGTGGTGGGCTCCTCCCTTCTGCAAAGGGACTGGTGGTCCGCTTTGTTACCCTCGAGGGGCCCGGAGCCGCGTCTCAGTGCGGCCGGTGCTGTCGGAGGCCGACGGCGATGGCCCTCGCAGCGAGGCCAGATGGAAACTACGCCGCCAGGCGGGGCTTCTGGGGTGGGGCTGCGGTAAAGCGAGCGAGGGTTGGTCCCCACCAGAGGGCCGGGGCGTGGCCCAGTCTAGACGGTCGCTGGGGCCTTGCTGCCCTCTGCAGGATGACAGGGAACTGCGCCGAGAGAGGAGCTCTGCTGAGGGGCGGGACTCCGTGCGGACCCGGGTTCTCTGGCGACCTCCTGCTGGCCCTCGACGCTCTCCCGCTTCATTCAAGAACAACGAACGGGCGAATCTAGTTAACGTGACAGTTAAAGGCGGCCTTGAAGGGGGGAAAAAATGAGATACAGAGGTCTTGGACTCAACAGGACGCGCTTTGTGGGAGCAGCCGACACCAGGTCTGGTGCTGAATGTTTTAGACCTTCCTATGGGCTTGATCCTGAGCACATTTTGAATTTCTGTCCCAAACAGGACAAAAAACAATCATGCAGTTTGAGGGTTTTGAGCTCCCAGGCTTCTGAAGCGTTGGGCCAGGATAATCAACCCAATTTGGGGCACTCTTACAAGACGTACTGCAGAGTGCCTACAGAGGACAGAAGGGCTTGGCGGCTTCACTTGTTTACTTGCATTTGTGACCTTTTGCAACGTGGAACCCTAGTGAGGGGGAGCTTAATCATTCCAAGATTCCCTCCCTGTGGGACCAGCACGTGGCAAGGGACTGATGTCCCATCCTCCAAACGCAAGGTTGTGAGGCTGCTGCGAATAAAAATCACAATATATATTTACTTTTCATCCAACTATTGACTGCACAAATTAAGTGTTGTTACAAGACCATGCATCAAAAGCTAAGTTATGGTTGGAGGAACCAGGGCTTAGACTGTGATGGAAATGACTGGAGGAACAGAACCGTGTTAATCATGCAAATGAAATCCTAGAAATTTCACTATTTTCTTTATATTCTAAGGCACTCCCCTCACTTCACTTTGTATTTATAGACTGAAGTAGTGAAGAAGTTGTATCACTCCCCGCCAACAGGAAAAATGATTGAATTTCCTGTACAGTAGCCATAGTTACTGAACATCTACTAGATTAAGACTACAGCTTTAGTTGTTGAACCAGAAGAGTTGGTTTCCAGAAGTTCTAGGGTGTGATGTCATTGAGGGCAGTACCTTGGGTTAGGGGTGTATGGGGGACGAGTGAAGCAGAAGTTAATTGTTTCCATCTCTGGGAAATGGTGTGCCTTGTTTTTATGTTTTTAGTCATCCAGGTTCTTGAAATGGGATTTGGGGTTTTTTGGTTTGCTTCTGGACATAGAGTTTGTTAGCTCTTTATTTGTGTGTCATTGATCCCTTTGAGAATTTGACAAATTTGGGGACCTCTTCCTCCCAAATGGTTATCTTCATGTATGCATAGATTTTGCCTATAATTCCAGAGTGTTCACATGCATAGACTCTAGATTAAGAATCCCTGTCATTGGGAATGTACGTATCTGTGTATATATAAATATTTAGATATCTATATCATATATTATTATTATATAGTTATTACATAATAACTACATATAACATTATATATTATTATACATAGTTATATATTGTTATATATTATTACATAATATATGTCTATTATATATATGTATTTGAAAATCTGAGACCTAGAGTTTCATTTCTAGATAATGATAAAATAATTTGAATTTCCTGCTCATGACACTTATGACTTACGATGTTTTGTAAGACAAGAACTATTCCTTCTCTTCTAGAAGTTCTGGGAAAGGGTAGCATGGTGTATTTATTAGGAATGTGATAAAGAGACAAGAATGACTTAGGTTCCCACCTGTTAGAAAGCAGAAATACCGAGACCAACATGCCAACGCTTAAACACTACAGAAGAAAGGTATTTTCATGCCCTTTAGGAACTTAATTTGAAATATAAAATAAAATTCTAATTAGATTTTAGTGGCCAGGAGATAGTAAGGTTATATGTGGGCTGGTTATATGTGGGGAAGGATATAGGGTGGAGGTTGTGTGTATGTCGGGGGGTAAGATGTAAATGTATACCTTCTGTCTTATTAGGGAGGAGTCCTTCACAAGGCTGATTTGCTGTAGCACTGTTTGTGTGGGGCCACTGTCCGCAGGCCTATAGTGTCCTGGGGTACTTCCCTAAATCCAGACTCTTCTGCAGATGGAGGAGCTGGAGGAAGGCCTGCTGATGCAGCCGTGGGCCCGGCTACAACTTGCTGAGAACTCCCTCCTGGCCAAGGCATATATCACCAGACAGGGGTATGCCTTGCTGGTTTCAGATCTCCAGCAGGTGTGGCATGAACAGGTGGACGCTTGTGTGGTCAGCCAACGAGCGAAGGTAAGCACGAAGAGAAGTTCTGCTGCGGGAAGGTAGTGGATATCATTTCTATCTTAGTGAAGGTCAAGGGTATGTTCACATCAGCCAGCTTGCTGACCTATAGGTTGCCAAGGGATGAGGAAGCATATTGAGACAATTCCAATGTCCTGCCCTTCTACCTAAAGCCCTGAGATCGATCTTTCTCTCTCTCTCTCTTTCTTTTTCTTTCTCTCTCTCTTTCTTTCAAGATTTTATTTATTAGGGAGAGAGAGAGAAAACTAGTGAGGGGAGGGGGAGAGGGAGAAGCAGACTCCCCACTGAGCAGGGAGCCCAATGAGGGATTCCATCCAAGGTCCGAGCCCGATAAGAGAATCTGTCCCAGGTTCCTGGGATCATGAGCCGAACCCAAGGCAGATGCTTAACCATCTGAGCCACTCAGGTGCCCGCCCCCCAGGATCTTTCCATATTGTCTGTGTGTTCATTTTTGCACTGGATACAGTACAGGGTAGGATGGTGAAGTAGGCCAGTTGCTCTCTGTTTTTGTTTTCTTCTTTCCTGTTCCCCTGTTTTTGTCTTCCCTTCCTCTCAAGCCCACTGTCTTCACTTCAGCCAGATTTTCCTTTGCTGGGACTTAGGGGAAAGTCGGTTTCCTTTTTGTACCCTTACTCTGTCCAACTCGTGTTGTCTTTTTAGGAGCTGAACAAGCGGCTGACTGCCCCCCCTGCGGCTTTACTCTGTCATCTGGATGAGCTGCTCTGCCCATTGTTGAAGGACACTGCTTGCCCTGGCAAAGTTAGCTTTGTCTGTGACCACGTGGGCAAGGCACTGATACTGCGGGTGCGCAGTGAGCTCTCAGGTCTCCCCTTTTATTGGAATTTCCACTGCATCCTAGCTAGCCCTTCCCTGGTGAGTGTAATTCAAATGTGGAGTTGGGGAGGGGAATGCCAGCTGCTTTGAGGTGACTCTTTGGGTGCTCTTATTTTTTTGAGTTTGACATTCTTCTTTAACCGGAAAACTTTCCTTGACCAGACAGAAGGCAAAACGGATTCTTGACTGGTACATCCTGTCTTTGCAAAGGGACCAGGCAAAGGTTTGGTTTACCTGCTTTATTGGGTGTCTTTATTCATTACTTTATTTAATATTTATGAAGCATCTACTATGGGCTAATTGTTGGGTGTCCAGATCTAAAACAAGATAGCCTATACCTAGAGTTCATCATCTAGTGAGAAGACAGGCAGGGAATAGATCAAAATATGGTAAATTCTTTGATTGAGGTAAACTCAGGATGATTAAAGGTCTGAAAAACCTTCTTGAAAAGAGAGGTTTTTTGTTTTGTTTTTTTTAGTGATGGGGAGAGAGGAGGTGGGAGGGGGAGAGGGAGAGAACGAATCTTAAGCAGGCTCCATGCCCTACAGGGAGCCCGACATGGGGCTCGAGTCTCACAACACTGAGATGACGACCTGAGCTGAAATCAAGAGTCAGACCCTTAGCCAGCGGAGCCACCCAGGAGCCCCATTGAAGAGATAGTTTCTGAGCTGAGTTTTGAAAATGAGTAGGAACTAACTGGGAGAAGATCAAGAGGTCATTCTAGGCTAGAGTGCATTTTGAGAGGTGGGGAGATGTGTAAGTGTGGGACAAGTGGGGGGATTTCCTGACTGCAGGGAGTTGTGAGAAATGAGGTAGGCAGTGGCCAGATTTTGAGGGATTCTAATGAGTTTGGATTTTATCCTAAAGGCAACAGAGATTCACTGAAAAATTTTAAGCAGGGGTTTAGCATGATTCAATTCATAGTTTATTAACAATTCATAGTTCATTAATAGTTTATTAACATAGTTTATTAACAGCAACAGGATAGATAATGCACCAGCATTAGATACCTTTCTGAACATTTCTTGTCACTGAATCCTCAAGACTGTCCTGCAAAATAAGTAGTATTGTTCCATTTCCAGAGTAGGAAACTGAGGCTGAGGTCTCTCCAAAGTCATCCAACTGTTGATTTTAATTGATTTTTTTGTGAAATTTTCCATCCTTGTGCTAGTCTACATCTTCTGCTCTGTCACTTTTTCTAAGTAACACCAGGGGGCGCTGTTCCCTCAATAATGCTTGTTCTGGGACACCTCTGCGCTGCCCTAGACGTCCTAGCCACAGCTAGTCTCACTCTACATCACGCAGCCCTAGAAATTCAGAATAGTGAGACGGAGGCCGTAGTTCCGCCAGGAGGTGGATGGGCTGTAGTAGTTTTTTATTTGCCCCCAAAATAATAAAGAACACTTGTTTGATGATGTTGTCACTGAGAATGATATATAAAAGGAAAACTAGCCCTTCTAGGCAAGTTCCTCTAGTTGGGAACCCGCCATAAGAAAAGAAGCACCAGTGTTTGGAGTGGAATGAGTCCTGGTTGGCCAAGGGGAGAAGTGACCATTGGGTAGTTGGTGAACAATTAGATTTAAGGTAAAATAAAATACTTACTATTTAAAAAAAGAAGAATGCCAGCCCAGGGAAACCCCTGAGGCTGAGGAAGCTTTACAGGGAAAATGTTAGAGCCAGCGGACACCGTCAAGGATGTAGGTGGACACTATTTCGGGCTTGTGTGTGTGTCCGTGAGGTCACACAGTCCTAATTTTTGTTTGTTACTCATTCTTGTGATAGTTTTTATTTCATTTTTTTTTCAATGAGCAATTCATGCAAAAGGCAAACATTTCAAATAGAATTGAAGACGGGTCTAGAGTGAAAAAATAGGCCCTTCTATTCTTCTCTCTAGTCCCTCATTTTCCTTGTTTAAAGCAACTACTGATACCATCTTCTTGTGCATTCTTAAAGAAAGCCGTAAGTAGGTTCATATGTACACAAGTATGTATATATACTTATACCATCGAATACCTATCTGGGTGGACATGTGCTTTTTCATAAATGGCAACATGCTATCCACACTGCTGAGTAGCTTGCTCTTTTCGCTTAATTATAGAACTTAGAAACTGTAACGTATTTAGAGAAGCTGCCTTAATATTCTTCACTGGTAACAGAGAGCTTTATTTGATGAATATATCAACATGTATTTAATTGACAGGCTACCGGTAGACACCTACGTTGTTTCCATTCTTTTGTTATTATACATGGTGACTATCCTTGTAATTTACTTTTCCTAAGTGTAGATGTACGAGTCAATTCCCAGCAGTGGAATAGCTGAAACAAGGAATGTTTGGGGGCACCTGGCTGGCTGGGTCGGAAGAACCTGTGACTCTTGATCTTGGGGTCATGGGTTTGACCCTCACATCGGGTATAGAGATAGCTTAAATAAATAAATAAACTTAGCGGTGCCTGGGAGGCTCAGTGGGTTAAGCCTCTGCGTTCGGCTCAGGTCATGATCCCAGGGTCCTGGGATTGAGCCCCACATCGGGCTCTCTGCTCAGCGGGGAGCCTGCTTCCTCCTCTCTCTCTCTGCCTGCCTCTCTGCCTACTTGTGATCTCTCTGTCAAATAAATAAATAAAATCTTAAAATAAATAAATAAATATATAAATAAATAAACTTAAATAAAAGGGAATATTTGTACCTTTAATCTTGGTCCTCTAATGCCAGATTGTCTTCCAGAGAGATTGCACATGTAAATTCCTACCGGTCACGCAGGAGAGTAGGAGAGTACAGTGGGCGGTGGATTCACGTTAAGTTCTCAGGCTGTGCGGGACAGGATGGGATGGCTAAAGCCTCAGGTCTCTGCTTTCTAGCCCTTTTCCACTTCCAGCCAGCTTCCTTCGTCCCTTCTTCCTCCTCACTGTTCTTCCTTGTAGCAGGTGTCATTTCTTTGGTGGTGTTGCTGTTATCTTTCCTTCCTAATGTAATTCTTGATATTCCAAATTTTGACTTTCAAATTTGGCCATTTTATAATTTCTAGGAGTCACAGCCTCAGGTTTTTTTGTTTTGGTTTGGTTTTTATTATTTGTTTTGTTTGTTGGTTTGTTTGTTTTGTGGCAGGAAGAGCCCACAGGCTTTGCAGCCGGCGGGACTGAATTTGTCATTCAGCTCCAGCCCTTTGACTATTTGTGTTACCTTGGATAAGTCATTGCATTTTTATGAGGTTTGGCGTCATCATCTGTAAAGTGGAGACGCCAGTCCTCACCTTACTGCTGATTTTAATTGAGTTTTTAGATTAAAGATAAGACCATACATAGTATTACTTAACTTTAGCATTATTGTGGCCCTTTCAGAGCAAATACTCTGACTCCCTAATTTTTCCTTGAAAAACCTAAGGACCATGAGAGTGCTTGGGATTAAGCTATTTTCACATCTGGGTGCTCCCAGAGCCGGGGCTAGAATCTAGATCTAATTCCCAGTCTGTTGCCCTTGTCGCTGTATCCAAACCTGATAGAATTAATCTTGGGATTGCTAAGGCCATTTGGGTCTCCCGCCTCTGGCTTGTCTACGTTTCAATGGGAAATCTGCAGACGTGGGGGGATGTTATAAATAGATTTCCTCTGGAAAAGATTGGAAACTCCTGCCTCCTTATCCATCACACTTCCTGACCTCCTTAACTGTTGTGAACTCTTCGGGGGCAGAAGCCTCATGGGCTCACAGTATGTGTTAGGCAGACAGTAGGTATTTGTTGAATTGACTTGTGAAACCACAACCCTTCATAGATCATTGTCTTTAAATGAAGAGGTGAGGATCTTCCTCACCTCCCCAAGCGCTTCAAGATTTTTCCTTGTAGTTTCTGTGGATTTGCTTTGAAACCCATTATTTCAACCACAGGCCTTTTCCGAACTAACTGATCTCTGATTTAAGTTAGTGTGTTAGTGGGCATCTAACTTTGAAATGAGTTATACCCCAGTGATTCAGAGTGACGTAACCAATTCTATGAAATTATTTGAGAAGTTGAAATATTTAACTGTTATTTATTTATTTATTTGGCTATATAGACATCGGAGTCTGATAAATAACTTCTGGCCTTACCGTATTTAATTAGACATGACATTGATTAATAACTGTTTGTCATTCTGTTTCATGTGGTCAGATTTACCACCACTCAAAGAGATGGCTGTTAAGGTGGGCTCCCAGAGAGAGGCTGGTTGTCCCCTTAAGGAGTTTTTGTTATTTGAGGGCTGTCACCAGAGGGAAGGTGATGCTGCTTGGTTACCAACTGTGATTACTTTCAGCTCCCCACTCCAAACACTGACTTTCTTTCATCCGAGGAGTCCCCTGTTTCTCCTCCTGATCTCCCCCAATGGGACCAAACCTAATCAAACAATTCTTAGGAAAGAGGGTTGGGTCTGGAGCAGGTGAATGTTCCCAAAGCAGATCTTTGGTCTCATTTTGAGCAGTACTTCCTACTTATCTTCAGGATCTGAACTGAGGACCAGGGCCAGCTTGGGGTGTGCAGCATGATGGCAAGAAGTGACGGATATTTACAGCTGCATTTGACTTCCGGTCTTCTACTCTGCATCAGTACCCCTGCATTGGTCGGGTCCTGGTGGTGGTGCAGAAGCTGCGGGCTCTAACCCTTACCACCCCCACCTCCCCCAATCTCTTCTCTTGTGCTCTGTCCTTAGAGAAGCTGGGGGGGTGGGCTGACGATGGCCAGTGGTCCAACTCTGGCTTGCTGCCTGTTTTTCTAAAGTTCCATTGGAAACCCACCACCCTCATGTATTTCATGTTGTCTGTGGTTGCTTTCCTGCTGCAGCAGTGGAGCTGAGCACTGTGGTGGCCTGTATGGGCCCTGGAGCTGAAAATATTGACTCCCTGGCCCACACGGAATGAGTTGCTGACCTCTGATCTAGGGCATTTCTTCTTGGTGCCTCCTTGGGCTCATCTCTTTGGGGGAAGGGAAAGGGACCCCCAGAGCCTCTACTAGTCATAAAGAGATTAATGATTCTAGTTACTTTCTTTGGCTAAGGCTTTTTTCTTTCTTAGGCTAGTGGACACCTTGTACAGGTGGATTAAGTGATTATTCTCTATAGTTATACGTTGTTACGTGAGGACAGTCCCAGTGGCACAACGTTGTGCTCATGCTTGTGTCCTTCTTACCTTGAAAGACACCTAGGAGCAAGGTGTGCTGGCGAGTTTCTTTCTTTCTAGGCTGGCCTCTCGGGGACTGGCTGGTTTCTGTCATGATGATCTCAGACTTTGTGGCCTTCCTGGGAGCAGAGTGAAACTCTGGGCTCATTCTGGGCTATCGTCAGCCCTGAAATGGCTCGTAATCAATATCTGGGTCTAATCCGAGACAGATTCCAAGGCTCTGTCTGTTGCTTTTTGTCTTCTGTTATGCTCCAGCTAGCACACTCTGTTTTAGCCACGCCTACTTTCCTAAAGTTCTGCTCGGATCTTCTGCTTTTGTCTCTTAGTCTCTGTGGAGAGTTGAAGCAACACCTTTCTCTTACCAACCTTTTAAAATCACTACCCCAGGCTGCCTCTCCACATGTTCTCCTCTATTCTTCCCACCCTTTTATCTAGGCTACAAAGAAAACCCTTGAACTTCTTTTTACCTACCTATTTTGTCATTGTATTATTACAGTCATGCCAATGGGTTGCTTGCTTATGAAATGTTAAGTTCCTGTGAAAACATTTATTTTGCAGTGTTTTTCTAGTTCCTAAGACAGTGGGGAGTACTCCATGCCTGTTGGCTGATTGATATCTCTTGCATGAAAGGTCTCCCAGCATCTGATTCGTCCTCTCATGGGCATGAGTCTGGCCTTGCAGTGCCAAGTGAGGGAGCTAGCAACCATGCTTCGTATGAAAGATCTAGAGATCCAGGACTACCAGGAGAGTGGAGCTGTGCTGAGCCGAGGTGAGAGGGTATTCTTTGGGGGTGTTGGGTGGGGAGTGGAACAGATGGTCAAAGGGACTCAGGAAAGGGGAGAGTCATCTGCATTAGAGGGGTGCTTCCCTGAGGAGGTGGGATGCTGGGTCCTGACTGTAACTGGAGACTTGATGCCTGTGACACTTCTCTCTGCCTCAAGGACCTGACTGGCACCCAAGTGACCCATAGATGCTGTAACCCATCCAGCCCTGCCCTGGGCAATGGCAAGGACAGACCTTGGAAAAGGGCCAACAGCTGTATAAAACTGGGGTTGGGGGGCAGACAACACACACTTGGGAACTTCCGAAGCATAGTTCCAGCTTCAGAATAAAAATTCAGTTCGACCTTCGTCTTTGTGGCAGAAAGAATGCCTAGAGTGTACACGCCACTGGACACGTCCTGTGTTGTTGATCGCCCTCTCCTCTGCCTCCTGTTCGCTCACATACTTTCATCCCTTCTTCCAGTGGACTCTGGGTGTTGCACGTGTGTGTGCTCCCTCCCCAGAAATCTTGGGCTCTGTTTCTTTTCCTTCTCACAGGCAGGAAACTCATCCTAAGACTAATATTTCTTTTCTGTATCCCTTCTTATTACAGATCGGTTGAAGACAGAACCATTTGAAGAAAATTCCTTCTTGGAACAATTTATGGTAGAGGTAGAGTATATCACGATAAGGATTTCCTTTCCCCTTGCACAGTTTTGCTTTATTTTCTCTTTCTAGGTGCCTGAGTACTGACTTGCATTTTGGGTGTTAGGTGGCTTGCATGGTTGGAAAACCTTTCTCTGGATAAGTTGCCCATAGAAAATCTGATAAAACTTGAGATGCCCGTGGGGAAGATGGGGTGAAATAAGGGGCAAGAATATAAAAGGCAGAAGTGGGCAGGTCAACATTTGTAAAAACATCTCTCTGTTCACAACCCTAGGAATTTCATTTAGAATTCCCTAACCTTGGAAAGTTTGGTTGACCAGTTGATCCATTTTTGCTTGTTAAGATCTGATCGCAGGTCTGGATTATGGAGTGGGGTGGGGGGGGCTAATCATTATTACTGGTCTGGGCCCCTCCAACATCCCGCAGCAGAGGAAGGTGAAAAGCACAGGGTTGCCATTTGGGAACTGTCTTGTGGGCACAGTAGGCTGTGGAAAATCACAGTGTTTATACAAGGGGACTGGCAAAGGAATGAATGGGGAGTAGATAATTGTGGCCTGTCAGAAGCTCCTGCCTAGGTTTCCCTTCTAAGGATTAAGCTTGGCCAAAAGAAACATCTATTAAATGCCAAACAGGGGGAGTATTAATAATAGTGACCTTTGATAATACCAGTCAATATTGATCTTCTCCTTCTCTAACTCTTTTAGGACTTGTTGCTTGTACAGTTGGTACTTTAGCATTATTGCCCTTTTTTCTAATTATACATGTGACCCAAGTTGGTGCTTAACTATGTAAGCCAATAATGCTATTATAATATCGTGTTCTGTATAGATCATTCGTATTTCTGTCTTGCCATCTAGGCTACTTTGTAAACCCCTTGTGGACAAGGATTGTGACTCATATTTCTTTTGAACATGAAACTCATATTTTTCCCAGGGCTAGGCAGGAAGAAAGCAGGTGTTCTTGACTTGGAACCTTCTGTTCTGCCTCTGTACATTGGCTGAGCAAAGACGCCATCATGCTTCGGGGCTTAACACGAAGAACAAAAAGGCAAGTTGAGTGCTCAGTCCATCTACTGAAGCAGTCTAACTCTGGAGAAGAAAAGAAGCTCACACTGTTACATCTTGAAGTAGAATGGATTTCAAGTCTTTATGGGGAAAGAGAGACCATTAAACCTAGACTTGCCACAGAGAGATTTCCTCGGCCATTTTTCTGTCAGATAGCTTCCTCTGTCTACAAGTGTTCGTATTAAGGAGGCTAACACAGGCTGGGGATGACATGCTGATTCCCTGCCCCAGCCCCTTAGCTAAACAATGCAAGGCTTATTCTTAGCCCAGCAGAAGGTCCCTTCCTGATCTGGTGCCCACATACCCCTCTAGCTTGGTTTCTTGATATTTTTCATTATGAACTTTATGCTTTAAGTCACAGAGAATGACTTTGGATTGCCAAAATGCCTTCCTCTAGCCTTAACGTCTTGGCATGCATTGTTCCCTTTGTCTATAATGCCCAGTGCCCTGGCCTTATCTACCTTGTAAATTTCTTTTTTTTTTTTTAAGGTTTTATTTATTTATTTGACAGACAGAGATCACAAGTAGGCAGAGGCAGGCAGAGAGAGGAGGAAGCAGGCTTTCTGCTGAGCAGAGAGCCCGATGAGGGGCTTGATTCCAGGATCCTAGGATCATGACCCGAGCCGAAGGCAGAGGCTTTAACCCACTGAGCCACCCAGGCGCCCCTACCTTGTAAATTTCTATTAGTCTTTTAAGTGTGGGCTTTGACTTCTTTGGGAGACTTTTCCAGACTCTCCCTGTAAAGATAATCCTTCTTCCCTGCTGCTGTCGTACCTTGGTTCCTGCCTCTGTTTTACCACTTATAACTGTGTGATAGATTCTGCCGTTTATATGTCTGTGAGACTGTGCCTTTCTCCTCCATTGATCTCTGAACGATCTGGGGACAAGGACTGCGTCTAATGCATTTCTGTGTCCCCGGTGCCGAACACAGGGCGTAGGAGTAGCAGGTTCTCCATAAGTCTGTCGAAGAAGATGTTGATAAAGGTGTGCTGGGAACAGCGGGTGAGGGGATCTCATGAAAGTTGGGGAAATGTGGCCTGTGGATACAGTGCTGCTTGTGACCTCTGTATCTGGGGTCTTGGGTTCTTCTCCTGGTTTATTTTGTAGCTTTGGTTGAATCAGTGCTTCCAGAGCCTCTGTTTTCTCATTTGTCCAGTTGGAAGCTCATCTCTTCCATGCTTTTGGGGCAGAAGTGGGGGCAGGGCACAACCCTGCAGTTGTGGAATGAGAAAGCATGCAGAAGCTCGGGACAGTCCAGGAGGCCTATTGGTGTTTTGGAATCAATTACATCATGAATACTGGTCTTCTAAGCCCTGGGTGGACCACACCCAAACCACAGAGACTTACAGAATTTTATATATCTGCAAAGGATCTGAGAAACAGGTAGCTGTAGTTTTCCATTTCCTGGGTGAAGAAGGTGGGCTTCAGACAGGGTGGGTGACTTGCCTAAGGTCATGTTGCTGTAGCTGGACGTTTGGGAGGAGGGATCATCGCTGTTCTGTCGCTCTAATGGGTCGTGCACACCAGTTAGAGGAGGGTTAAGGGCTCGGAGAGTGTGGCGTACTCCCAGTCTCGCAAGGACAGGATCACTGCACTGTCCTCCGGGATCACGGAGTGTCCCGCGTACCTGCTAGAACCAGCTTCCTCATGGGACTGCAGAATTTCTTATGGCCACTGCACCTTTTCAATGACTCTGCTTGTCTGGGGTCCTACAAACAGGACACAGAAGGGTCATGGGGTCACCCAAGACAGCTGAAAGGATGTGCCATCAAAATAAGCAACATAGGAAGATAAACAAACCAGGGACAGAAAGCCTGGGACGAAGGTGCGGGGGATGGGGGGGTGGTGCAGGGCTGATGTCAGAGGGGCCTCACGGTCAGTGCTGGGGTCTGTTTTTCCTGGTTCTAGGGGAGAGGCCACAGAGATAGGGCACAGAGGGCAGTAGGACAGGGAGGTTTCTAGGATACTAAGGCCAGCAAAAATATTTAAGGGTTGACCAGGGGTTATGTCTTCATATTTGGTTCTTTTGTTTTTCCTCCTCCGCGCCCCCAGCCTTGGATTTCGCATTTCCAGGGAGCCCAAGGGGGCCCATAGATGGTGGCCTGACCGGAGGGGATGTCCTGGCAGTGTTCTTTGGGTCAGCTGGGAGGAGTGGCTGCTGGCGTGCTCTTCATAGAGGGAAGATCCCCATAGAGAGCATCTCCTAGGACTGGGGGTTGGGAGGCACTGTTCAGAGTGGGAGATGAGTCAAGGATTCGGGAACAATTCCTGCATGGCCCAAGAACTGCGTGAGCAAAGTTTAGGAGGATGAGGCTGGTGTGGCCTTCTCTCACTCTGGTCCACTGGAGGGAGTTCCTTCCCCCAGCCCTGTCCCCGCCTCCCCCTCTCCATCTGGTTGCCATCAGGCTGTGCGGCTGCTGGCGGGCTCTTTATTTATTTATCCCAGTGTAATGGGGTGAGGAGGGAGCTGGCCTGAGGCTGGCATTCCGAGGCCATGCCACTGAGCCACAGGCGGTTGGCCTGGGTGTGTGAGTCACTGGGGCTGCGTGCTGCTCAAACCAGACGCGGCCAGGCTCAGGGATAGCAGGCAGCCCAAAATAGAGCCCCGCCCTCTGCAGCTGGCAACCCCTGGCCAGGAATCAGCCCTTGACACCAAAACCTGAGCAGTTGCATGAAGTTGGCTTCTTTAAGGGGCGGGGGTTGGGGGGGGCGCTTCACAGTGAGATCCTCTCCGTCCCTGTCTTCAGAGGAAAGTATTGGGTCCGCTGGACACTCCCATTGCGGCGTGCCATTTAATCCGTTCAGTGTAATACCTTCACGAATTTTTAGCATGTACTCACAGTTATATAACTATGGTGGACACTGATTTGCTGAGCACCCTAAATGGTGCTCAGGCAGATACTTCTAGTTGGGAAGATATTCCCTTCTGCTCTTAGAAAGCTAGGGGTTTTATCACAGCTGCCTGGGGAAAGAGGAGGAGTCCTTTAACCTGGAAATTGCCTTCTGGTTGATTTCATTCTTGGAGGACAGCTTCTGCTTGGTTTCCTCAGCTGGCGTCCCACGCTTCACCTGCCACTTAAATGTTAGTGTCACTCAAGACTGTGTCCTTATCCCCTTGCTATTCTCTCTCTGGGTCATCTCATCCAGATCTCTCTTGGAACTGTCACTAGTATGCCACCGAGGGCCAATTTTATATCTTCATTAGGCAGCCCACATTTCTTTCTGCACTTTTATTTGACTTTGAGCAGGGGAGTATGTCCCACATTGCAGCACTCTACCCATGTCCAAAATAGACCCCCTACACCTCCCAAATCGAATTCTCTTCTGGCATTCCTTATCTTGGGGAATCATACCCGTATCCGTTCAGCTTTCGAAGCTGGGAACTTGGGAGTTACTTGCTTTTCTCTTTGTCCTGATTTCCAAAGCCTAACTCGTCAACAGTCTCTTGAATCTGCTCTCCTCTCTTCTGGCATCCATTGCTAAGAGTAGCAGCTACCCACCCCTCCACAACGTTTTCTGGTTCTGGTCTGCCCTTCCAGCAGCCTCCTGACTTGTCACACGGGCAGTCCTTATTCCTCTTCCAGTTGAGTCTGTATTACAGCAGAGTGGTGTCTTTGAAACAGAAACTACAACCCAATTGCTCGGTCTTTCAGTGGTTCCACCTCCTGGCGTGGCACACAGGTCATTCATGCTTCGGCCCCCTTGACCTATGCAGCCGGATTCTTGGCCACTCTGGCACACGGAAGTCTTGATGCCCATACATCCCTTGACCAGTTTGCCTGGCTTTCTCTTCCCTCTTGTGCTCGAGACAGACTCCTACTCAACTTTCCTGACTGCACAGACACAGACTTCATCCCTCTCGTGAGTTTTCCGTGAGTGTTTTTCCTTTCCTCAGCCCTCTTCTTTTAGGCGCTGGCATGCTCTCCTGCTGTTCCCAAAGCC